GCTGAATGAGTGATTGCCACCGCCCGAGGGTTGAGACGGGGATTTTATTTATTTTTTTTTTTAGATACACCATGCTAGTCACGGGTTGGACCCCCTTTTGCCTTCAGAACTGCCTCAATTCTTTGTGGCATAGATTCAACAAGGTGCTGGAAGCATTCCTCAGAGAGTTTGGTCCATATTGGCATGATGGCATCACACAGTTGGCGCAGATTTGTCGGCTGCACATCCATGATGCGAATCTCCCGTTCCACCACATCCCAAAGATGCTCTATTGGATTGAGATCTGGTGACTGTGGAGGCCATTTGAGTACAGTGAACTCATTGTCATGTTCAAGAAACCAGTCTGAGATGATTCCAGCTTTATGACATGGCGCATTATCCTGCTGAAAGTAGCCATCAGAAGTTGGGTACATTGTGGTCATAAAGGGATGGACATGGTCAGCAACAATACTCAGGTAGGCTGTGGCATTGCAATGATGCTCAATTAGTACCAAGGGGCCAAAGACCAAAGGTACCAAGAAAATATTCCCCACACCATTACACCACCACCACCAGCCTGAACCGTTGATACAAGGCAGGATGGATCCATGCTTTCATGTTGTTGACGCTAAATTCTGACCCTACCATCCGAATGTCACAGCAAAAATCGAGACTCATCAGACCAGTCAACGTTTTTCCAATCTTCTATTGTCCAATTTCGATGAGCTTGTGCAAATTATAGCCTCAGTTTCCTGTTCTTAGCTGAAACGAGTGGCACCCGGCGTGGTCTTCTGCTGCTGTAGCCCATCTGCCTCAAAGTTCGAGGTACTGTGCGTTCAGAGATGCTCTTCTGCCGACCTTGGTTGTAACGGGTGGTTATTTGAGTCATTGTTGCCTTTCTATCAGCTCGAATCAGTCTGGCCATTCTCCTCTGACCTCTGGCATCAACAAGGCATTTCCGCCCACAGAACTGCCGCTCACTGGATATTTTTTCTTTTTTTATATAAACACATACACACAGTATATCGCGGGGGTTACATTCCAAAAAGAATCAGTGATAAGTGAAATCCGTGTAGAATAGATTAGAATTCATTAAAAAAAAAATGTGAGAGGGACGAAATTTCAAATGTGCTGTATGTTTCACATAAGCTTCCCTTGCAGGCTGAGAGCATACGCCTCTGCATTGTATACATAGTTCAGTATTGTATAGTAACTGTAAAAAATAAAGCTGACTATCAAGTACCAAGTACAACTTTATTGTCAAATGTGCTGTACGTGAAACATACAGCACATTTGAAATTTATTCACTCTCACATTTTTTTTTTCAATAAATCCTACTTCACGGATTTCACTTATCACTGGTTCTTTCTGGAACGTAACCCCCGCGATAAACGAGGGATTACTGTATATGAGATATCTCCCTTCCCGACTCGTTCTTCTTTTTCCTGACCTCCTCTCTTCTTTTCCCTCTGCGCCATCCTCATTCCCGTTTAGGTGGCGAGGTAGCGACTCCGAGGTTCACCCAGTATTTCCATGGCAGCTTGTCGGGCCTGACAATCCGCCCGGGTCGCATTGAAACCCAGAAGGTTATCTCCTGTTTGCAGGCCTGCAAAGAAGGACTCGATATTAACTCCCTTGAAAGCCTGGCAAAGGACATCAAGGTGTGTGTGTGCTTCTTGAGGAGGAAATGCTTAGCAACACACACACACACACACACACACACACACACACACACACACACACACACACACACACACACACACACACACACACAGTATTGTACTGTCATTGTACAGTGGTAAAAGTAGTGTTCTAGTTCCTCTTGAAATATTTTGACTGTCTCCTGTGAATTAAGTCTTAAGCATACCACCAGCATGTGTACCTCGAGATGCCAGAAGAATTTTTCAAAGTAAAAATGTTCAACCTTCAGGAGATCAGCACACACACACACACACACACACACACACACACACACACACACACACACGATATATATATAAAAATCCTCGTTTCACCCCTCGGGTGGTGTCCATCCCTCATTCAGCTCGGGTCCTCTACCAGAGGCCAGGAAGCTTGAGGGTTTTGCGCAGTATCCTTGCTGTTCCCAGCACTGCACATTTCTGGACTGAGATGTCCGATGTTGTTCCCGGGATCTGTTGCAACCACTCATCTAGTTTGGGTGTCACTGCCCCGAGTGCTCCGACCACCACAGGCGCGACTGTCGCTTTTACCTTCCAGGCTCTCTCCAGCTCCTCTCTGAGCCCTTGGTATTTCTCGAGTTTCTCGTGTTCCTTCTTTCTGATGTTTCCATTTTTGGGACCGCTACATCCACTACAACGGCTTTCCTCTGCCCTTT